TTTTTTTTTCTGGCAACGCTTCCTTTGGTTCCCCAAAATTTCCATTCCTGCAGTTTTTTAAGGTCGGACATGGCAATAAGTATGTGCCGCTACATGAGAGGATTAATCGACGAATCAAAGATGGAACTCCATTCTTTTCCTTAGAGTTTTTCCCTCCTAAGACAGCTAACGGCGTGGCTAATTTCTTTACTAGGCATGTTTATTGTTTTTTGAAGCTTTTTTTGAAGTCACTATTACGATTTAGGCTTGATCGATTCAATGAAGGTGGACCACTATTCGTCGACATCACATGGCATTTGGGGAGTGATCCAGGTAGAAATCTTGGTATTCACTACATGTTACGCTTAGAAATTCAATACCATTTTTTTCTTGTTGTTTGCGAGAAAAGCGCAAAATCTGTGCTGAAGGTACCTCTTTCAGCCAATATGACGAAAGAGACTTCTTCATCTTCTATTGCTGCTGGTTGTCTGGACTATTGTCGTGTAGATACTATGCTGCACATGACCTGTGCGCAATACTCAAAGGAACAAACCATAAAACATCTGGAACAGAGCAAGTCTGTTGGATTGAGGAATATCTTAGCCTTGCGAGGAGACTTGCCGAATATAGTACGTCTCTTTAAAATCTAGACGAAAACTTGATCCAAATTACGCGGTTTAGGAGCGTGATGATGCTCCTATTTACAAGTACCGAGCTTTGGACATGATCCGATGGATCCGTGAAGAATTTGCAGACTACTTTACCATTGGTTGCTCTGGTGAGATAATTTGTAATTATTTTATGCGTATTGTTATCTTTTCTTTGGAATTTTCTTTTCTTTTTCTCTGCATCATTTTCTTCTGAAATAGATACTCCAAAGGTGTACAACTGTGGATTTTGTTTAAAAGCCACTCAGGTACACCAATCACTTGTAATGCGCTAAGTGCTGCGCGAAGTTTTCATATGAGTCAGCTTCATCCCATAAGTTTGAAAAGAATCAGTTATAAAACAGAGTTCGAGCACTTCTACAGTTTTGTTTCTTCAATCAGAGAGAATTAGAAAATCTTACAAAAAACACCTTTTTCACTTACTTTACGTTCAGCAATGTTTGTCAGCTCAAGTTCGCTCTAATTTTTGGCAGGCTTCATTCCATTTCATCTTGCTCGCTCATCATTTCTGGTATTTCTCACGTTATCTGCGTTTTTTATTACCAGTAGTTAGAAAGTTGCTTTTTCTTCTATCACTTGCACTCAACCAAAGATAACAACAGTTTTTTTTTGTGCTATCGGCACATTCGTAGCCAACGACCGTACTTTGGTCAAGTTTTACTATTTTGCGCGAATCTTACGATAATGAACTCGAATGATTATGCCACGTCCTTATCGCCGAGAATGATCGCGTTTTCTCTCATAGACCGCAAAGGTCAACAATGTAAAGACTGGGTAGGACCTAAATGGAATTGAGAGGATTTATCGTGGAAGTTTGAAAGTTTGTAACAAGGTTTGGAATCCGGATATTTTTCCCCTGGATGAACCTTGCTTATTTATACTTAGGCACTTGATTTTTTTTTTTGCCAGATGCGGAAATTGAGTATATGAACATACTTCTCCAGCTTAAAAGTTTCTTTGCTCACAATGTGGGACCACTGCATATTCCTCGAAAAAATTGTAGCGAACTGTCAGTCTAGAGCAGATATAGAAAATGTGAGAGTAAAACCAAAAAAAAAATGTCTTTTACTTCAAATTTTGATGTACTTATTTCATCTCGACTTCACTGATCCCGTCGCGGGAGTATTCGGCCACCCTAAATTAGTTTTTCACCTAAGAAAATTCTAATCCTAATTTTTTTTTTGAATTGGGACCGTACCACCCTC